GAGACATATGTCAGATGGCAGTGAAGGAAAACAAAACAAAAGTATTTAAGTGTGGAGGATGTTTGAAGATTATAATTATTGAAACACTTTAACCGACTCTGTAACTCATTACCCAAGGCAAAAAAGTTAAACGCAAACAACTTTATTGATAAATGTATTGTTTCTACTTTGAAAAATACTAATGGGCCTTAAAATTAAAGAAGTTTTACAAATTCTCTTGAATTTTTTTTTAGTAAAATGAGAATAATTTATTCGCAGTCGAAAAAATTGTTTCCGCTTGTTTTTTAGGGTCAAATATTTCAAGTTAATGTATTCAAAAAGCAGGAATTGCTATTTTACGAACGAAAAATTTTCTTATTCAACAACATGGCGGCTTTCACTTTGTTGTTTTGGAGATTAAGATGGGGTAGTTCGAGTAGTCGCATACTGTTGGGTCTTAACAGGTAGTATACTAGTCGCAAGATTGCCTAATTTAGTCATCCTAGAGTCTAGCTTGTGCCGCCCTCTATAATCTAAATAAACGGGGGAGTGGATAAACTATCGGTAATATATGTCGATGTATATTTAAATTTAGTTTTATATGCACCTTTCTTATGTCCCATTTTAATTAAGTTTTTTTTTATAAAAACAAAAACAGCACTGAACTGTCTGACTGAACAGAACAATGAAGTGAAAATTTCAGATTTAAGGTTATGGTTCAATACAGTTGCAAAAAGGTACTGACTCGACGTCCTACCAACGTAAGAATAAGGAAATCTAAACAACGTTGGAATTAGTAAAACAGACGACGTTTGCATAACGTTGGAATAGGTCCTGAAACTGACGTCGGAAAACTCTATATTGTCCAACGTTGTAACTACGTTGTCCGAATCATCTAAAGATCACTTAAGCAAAAAAGGTTACAAGACAAGGTTTATTCGACGTCGCAGAAGCTTCTACTTTGCTGTAGTACTAGTCCAACGTCGGCACAACGTTATAAAAACGTTTAAATTTATTTTAATACCCAAGGTAGGGAGCTAACTATTTTTTGTAACTAATCCAACGTTGTGTTTAGTAAACATGTGGTCGCAAGTCGTGAAAATGCTACTTGGGTATGCTCGTTGCCGTAGTTGAACTCATCTAAAAAGTTTTATTTGCTTGAATAATAAATTGTAGTACAAGTTAGACGATATCAAAATACTTTTTTATTTAAATATATATTGATAAAAATACAGACACATATTATAATATTATCTTAAGGTAGGAACAGAACTACTACACTTTAGTACCTAAATTAAATTTTATTTGTTTTTTGAGCATATAAGCACCTGTACACACGCATTCACGCAATAAAGAGCGATATGATCATAATTTAATAATTCACACACTCTCACGAACTTCTGCAGTGCTTTTAGTAACTATTGTCAGTAGAAATCACTAGAAATTTTAGATATTCCTCTATTTCGTTCTATTTAATTTACAATTAACTTATTGGTATATTTAATTATATGTTTCAGGATGTCTTTTCCATATTTTTATATTCTACAGGGTATGTCAAAATAACTTAAGATTACTCTTTTCAAAACAGTAACTATTTATAATAATACAGGATGAATCTTAAATAAGTGCAATTATTTTTAGAGGTAGTATATTTTGAAGAAACACGATTGTGATAGCAAAAAAAAATGAAAATTTGGAATTTTTTGAAGAAGAAATTTGGATTTATTTTTATTTTTTAGTTAAAAAACATAATTTCTTGATAATATGGCAACATGCGTAGTAGATTAAATTTACAAGAAAGAAAACCCGAAAAAGATCCAGTGGTTCTGAAAACTTAAGCAATTTTTTTTGCAAATTTTGAAAGTAAATTAACACGGGACTAATTTTGGACTTTTCTTTGAAAAACGGTAAAGAGAAAATATGTTTCTTACATCGAGATCTGCCAGCCCTGAAAATATTTGCACTTATATAAGACTCACCCTGTATAATACAGGGTGGCACCTCTCATGCGAAGCGGAGGATCCAGGGAGCATGGTAGTTTATATCGAAATGAAATGTTGGAAGCATATGTAGGTTAATTGAGAGCGTTTTATAAAAATATAGAGAGTTCTACACGGTGTTCCCAAAAAATTTACGCATCAAAGTTGGGTTTTTTGTAATGGAATAGCCTATACAGGGTGTTTTAAAACAAATGCGAACAACTTCAGGGGGTGATTCATTGTTCAAAATAAAGGGTAGTTTGCTTTATAAACGTTGGGTCAAAAGTCAACCATTAGGGAGATATCGCGATACAAAGATGGCGGAAAAATAATGTTTTTATTTTTTATCTTGAAAACGAAAAGCGATAGACCAATGAAATTTTCTGGAAGCATTACTGTTATGAAAACACACTTTCTGGTAATTTTTTCACTTTTTTAAAATGAGTGGGAGGGGTTGAAATAAACTACCCCTATCATTCTTGTTAACGAAATTTAAAGAAAAATCTTAGCAAACACATGCAAAAATTAATTTGAATAGTTTAGTTTGTTTAGAAACTTTTTTATCTCTTGTGTTTTGTTGATAAAACTCTCCGATTTGAAATTAAAAAATAAAATGTAAAGCATTACATGTCAGGACAAAAAACATTTTTAGATAAAGAATCTAGTGAGCTGCTGTAATTTTTTTAGGAAAAAATCTAGTCGGTCGCTGTTTCTTTTTAGGATGTTCCTAATATTATTTTATTTGACATTACTCTACTGCAATACGTTATTATCTAGATTATTATTATTATTATCGGTATTATCACTAGATTCTTTGTCTAAAAATGTTTTTTGTTCTGACATGTAATGCTTTACATTTTATTTTTTAATTTCAAATCGGTGAGTTTTATCAAAAAAACACAAAAGATAAAAAAGTTTCTAAACAACCAAACTATCTAAATTAATTTTTTTGCATGTGTTTGATAAGATTTTTCTTTAAATTTCGTTAACAAGAATGATAGTGGTAGTTTATTTCAACCCCATCCACTCATTTTAAAAAACTGCAAAAATTACTAGAAAGTGTGTTTTCATAACAGTAATGCTTCCATAAAATTTCATTAGTCTATCTCTTTTCGTTTTCAGGATAAAAAATAAAAACAATATTTTTCCGCCAACTTTGTACCGCGATATTTCCCTAATGGTTGACTTTTGACCCAACGTTTATGAAGCAAACTACCCTTTATTTTGAACAAGGAATCACCCCCTGAAGTTTTTCGCATTTGTTTTGAAACACCCTGTATATTAATAACTGATTTTCGGATTCTAGTGTTTCTAGTATTCTAGTTCTAATTCGCGAGACTTGATAGCAGTAGATACTTTTGAAGCTCTAAATAAGTTCTCAAATGTGAATAAACTATTTTCATAGTTTAAATAATAAAATCACCGAGTGTTTTCAAAAAATTGCATTTAACGTCATTATATATTTAGATATTATCACCAACGCATAAATGGAATTGGTAAGTTGAAAAAATCATTATTTTTGTGCATCTTTGACTCTTTATAACATATTGAGGTTCGTGACAATGGTTATTAAAGGCTTGTAGATATTTAAACAATAATAATTTTTATTATTGTTTAGAGTGAGCCGTTATGGTAGAATGCATTATTTGAACTGTTCCTGCTTTATTTTGTTGTTTATAATAATCTAAACGAACAAGGTAATTGTAGTAATGCTGACAAAATAAAAAATGTAGTGCCAGTAGTTCATTGCAATTTTTATTACTCTTTGGAAATAATCAATGAGCAGGCTGTATGATTTGAGAGAAAAGAAACGGTACAAACAAATATGTACACATGTAGCAAGTACATTCATGCGTTAATATGATAAAGAGATAACAATTAACATAAATTTAGTGTAAAAATTTTATTTTTCTACAAACGTCAAAAAATGACAAGGTTCACAAATTGATAGCAATGTGCGAAGTGACACTTTTTTTCATTTTCCTACGTTACCATGACACGGTGCGCGAAGTAATGCGCGAAATGCCTATTTCGCATACTGCATGTAAATTATATGGGATTTTGGAATTTTGATTTTTGGAAAATGAAGAACTAAATCATAACTAATTATTTATTTTGAAATATTCGAGAATAAACAAATAACAAATATCAAACTTAACACTAATGCATATTATAGTTATTATTTACAATATTAACATTAATAGTACAACCAGTACACGAACCAATTTAATCCCAAACTAGATAGTTCTGATTTTGCTTGAGATATGGGGGTTTTGGGACCTGAGACTATCCAATTTTGATGTAGAGGTACTTGATCCCGGTATTTGGCACTCTAAAATTGTATTTGATATTTGAATTTTATTGTTGATAGAATCCTCGACGTATCCCTCGGCCACTGTCGAAGATTTCCATCCTATTATTATTATTATTCTTATTATTTTTGATTATATACGACCCACAACGTGGAAGACTTCACCTTTTTGGATTTCTCAGCAAAATATGCCAATAGCACGTTTTCAGATATATTATTAGCTCCATTCGCTGTACACTAGTCTTTGAATTGTTCATACGTCTTCTCATACTGACGTTTGGACTTTTCTGGCAATAAACTCTAAATTGCCGTTTTCGCTGTATCTATTAAATTAGGCGGGGTATTACTTAGTTTTTAAAAATTCAAGTATTGATCACCAAAGTAGCACTTCGCGCACTAGATTCAAAAATAACTATTAATTAAAGTCAAAAATTGGGTTAGCAGGTTAACACTTTGTACTGACGATATAAGTACTAACACTAAATTATTTAGACGTTAAAAAAGTATATTTTTTTCTAATTTGCATATAAAGTGTACTAGTATCTTTAAGCAAAATTTCTCAATTTAGTATAATATTAAAATAAAAGTTTCAAAACTGTATTTAATATTTATTTTACCAACTGGCACTGTTTTAAACCATATAATCCATCGAAAAAGCAAAATTTACAATTACCTCGGTCACTACTCAACACCATCAACCAAAAAAATAACCTTTACTTTTCCTCCACTAGGCTGAACAAAATCGGAAAGAACCCCAACCTATTGGCACACAGAGAAGAAGATCTAGGTAGCGAGAGCAAAACCATAAGCGCCGTGGTCAACGCTCTGGCGGCCGAGGCCGATCACGTCAACCTGTCCCAGGAATCGATGGCGAAGATGCACGGGAGCGACCGAAGCCTGCACGAACTGGGCCGATCCCTGCAGAAGGCGCTGCCTCGGCCCAAGTCGGAAAACAACTTCGTATCACAGGTGAGTCGCAGACTTTAAGGAAGGAGCATATAAAAAACTTCCTTAAATTCCGGTTTATCAGTGCCGTTCTAATTTTATTCAAAACGTGTAAAAAATATGATGTAGGGTAGGCTCAATAATTTGTTACTTTATTTTACATTGTCAATAAATGTTGGTAGTTATTAAAAAAATTTAAATTGTTATAAAAATATATAATTCTAATAAAAATAGACAAGTTATAATAATTATTTATTAATACAAACATCCGATACGCTACTGAAGCAAGTACGTAAGTCAAATTAACATATCTAAATTTTTTGACATCTACTCTTTGGCAAATAGTAAATAAAAGCAAAAACGGAAGAAAAAATATATAATTAGTTAATTTAAGCGAATATCATAAATGATCGGTTTACTACACGTATATAAATTATATAGTCACTGCTGAAAAGTTATTCCATTATTTCCGTCGATTTTTGACCAAGATTTACCGCACGCTACACAAACCACTATTTTACAGTCTTTTTCGATAAATCGCAATAATGTCAAAGGTCTTTACTGAGCTTATTTTATGTTATTTATTATTTATTATTTTTTTTACTGATAGTTGTTTAAAGGTAGTAAATATAGAAGGAAATTGTGGAAGAACTTAAATTAACAGTGGCAGTATTGCGCGATTTATCGAAAAAGACTATAAATTGGTTGTGTAGCGTGGTAGATCTCGGTTAAAAAAAGGGGGAGGGGAATAATTGAATAACTTTTCACTAGTAAGTGACTATTATAATATACATACGTGTAGTAAACCGATCATTTACGAAATTCACTTAAAATTATACTACTTGTCAAAGAATTGAAATACGTCAATTTGACTTACCTGCTTCAGCAGCGTATCCGATGGTTGTGTTAATAGATAATTATTATAACTTATCTATTTTTAAAAAATGTCTATATCTATGTGGCGGATTCATCAAACTTTCTGTATGATTATTTTTAATTTTTACGTAGGTATGTTATATTTATTTATGTTATGTTCTTTAAAATATTGCTCATGCATCTGTAGATGTTAGTAATGTATGGCAAACGCTTCTTTGATTTTAAAGAACATATCATAAATAAACATAACATACCTACGTAAAAATTAAAAATAATCATACAGAAAGTTTGTTTTTTTTTTGGTTTTACCTTATTAAGTAATTGTTATCAGGTAGTAATTGTTAATTTGTCAAGTTCAACTTGATATAATGCCATTTTAACAGAACGTCAACGGTTTTTGTAGACGTATCTGTTTTAAAAAACTAAAGTGTTCGCAAGTAGTTAAATTTAAATATTTTAAATAGTTTTTTTCTTTTTTTTTTGTAATTTTTTGCTTCCGACGACGGAAAGAGATAAACTTTCCGAAACGTTAAGCATTTTTTGTTCGTTAGACAAATTTGTATAACTGTAACCCTAACTTCTGACAAGCAGATTCCGTTTGGGATTAACGCAGAAGTGTTTACAAAAAATAACTATTTTATTTTGTAGATTTTCTTGCAGTGGCGAAATACCCATAGAGGATTATCTATTTTTATTAGAATTATATATTTTTATAACAATTTTAATAACTACCAACGTTTATGGACAACGTTAAATAAAACAACAAATTATTAAGTCTATCCCATGTCTACCCTACATCATAATTTTTACACGTTTTGAATAACGTGTAAAAAACAAATCACTGAAACCTCACCAAACCAAACAAAACAGTAACGAAACTGCAAAAAATCAGCAAAATTTCAAATCAATTTCAAATGTATCGAATGAAACGTCATAGAGAACTGTCAAGGATCCCCACCCTGTCAAGTCCCCACCTCCATCTACCATTCCTTAATCTTTTTATACAAAAATACAAATGCACTGAACGATGAAATCAAATCATAGATTTGCTTTAAATCGTATATTATATTGCAGGATATTCAACTGATGGGCGTGGAAGGCAGCGGAAGACCCTCCTTCCACAAGTCGGACACGCTACACAAGGAATCGGCCTTCCAATGACGCCACTCCACGCACTAGTGACCGCGCTAGGGCGGGCGCTGGTGCGTGAGCGCGACCTGGTGAATTCGACATCCCAAGCCTTCTTCTTTGTCACAAGCAATATACATTCATACCTACCTACGTTGTGTGCTCGGCGGGGCGGCTACGAACACTGGCTACTATACAGTTGTGTGCAATATACGTAGACTAGAGGAAGTTTAGCTTTAATTAGGTGCTCAAAATGTGTATTTTATCTCTATACCGTGGCGGTCCTGGGCTGGTTGGAATGAGCGATGGAAAGATATATGGTGATAGAGTAATTCGAGGTATTTAAACGAAGGTTTTTCATTAAAGTAAAGGCAGAAAAATACTAGCAACGATATATCCTATTCAAGAACTTTATAGTATCAATTTTTGACGACATAAGTTTTTATACCATCTCAGTCTTCAACAATATTATTTATTTAATGTAAGAAAATGAATTAACAGTTCAAATATTTCCTATAAGATTTTTTTATCTTAACCATTTTTTCCTTTATTTTAACCAATGATTAAAGAATACAAGGATACATGTAACGTCCATATCTTTACGGGCTGCATCATTTTTGTGATGCTAGATGCCATTTTTTTGGTTGTAACGAATGAGTTATCAGCTGGTCATCATCAGCGACAATTTTAGTGATTTTTAATAGTTTGTGTGTAGTGAACGTTGTATAAACTTTATTACAATGGTGATTAGTTGTTCAGCTTTCAAGTATAAAAGGCGCAGCGATATGAAAAAGCCAGGAGTTACATTTCATAGGTAAATAAACAATCCATACCATCTTTTTAGTGTTTTCTTAGTTTCTTACCGAATTCAATAATTTTATTTTTCTGATATTATATGTACTTGTGCTATACGTCGATACTAGCTTTGTACCTTTTGTTAAAAATTTGATACGTTTTTTTCGTAATTAATTAGTATGATACTACCACATACACCATAGGCGTAGTCAAATCATTTATCAAAAATATAAATATCTCTTCAAGCGGCTATGCTAAGAAAAATATGTACTACGGCACTGTTTGGTGGTATGGTAACAATTTCGTTGCCGGGGTTATTCGTCCTTGTATTCTTTAGTCATTGAATTTAACAATTCCTTTAAATTGTATGTACTATTTATGTACAGAATCAAACTATTTAGTTACTACTTAACAAGCCACGTATAACATTAAAGTATTTGTTAAATATGTATAAACAAATATATGAGTTTCAAATCCTTTCGAATTGTGAAAACAAATTTTATATACCGACCTGGTCATTCTAAATCCGTGATTTACAGAATGTTCGGATTATCTTTACAAGAGAAAAACTTTTTTATTATTGACATTTTGTGCTTGTTCTAAAATAGAGAGAAATAGAGATAATAATTTCGTTAGATTTCAATAAACCATTTATATACAGAGTCAAAGATTTTAATTACAACTAATTAATATATCAAATATTCAGTTAAATATTATTGAAACAAATAAATGAGTTTCATAGTATTTCGAATTGTGACAGGATCATTTATGAGGCCTAAATTATAAAAAAATGCATTTTCTACGAAAACCTGAAAAGATCGGGAAAAAAATAGTATAATTCAATTTGATAGACAATTAAATTGTGCATCTGAGTCGCGTAAAATATACAGGGTGTTCCATTTCAATTAAACAAGTTATTTTCGTTTAAAGTTAGTAATTATTTAATATAAATTTTTAGACACTCTATAAAGATAGTATTACTTTTATTATTGCAACACAACATTTAGTAAATAGAAAAACTTCAGTACAATATTTGGTTTTAAAAACGTAAATACACCTAGAGAACTGAAGCATTAAAATTGTTAATGCATTTTCGCAAATATCGTAAATATTTCAAAAACGGTAAGATGCTGGATGGTGCGGTAAACCTTAATGAATTTTACTTTTATTTTAATCGCAGAAACTAGAAATGTAATAATATACAGGGTGTTCCATTTAAAAACATGCAGCTTTTATATTTTTTTTATTTATTTGGGACACTCTGTATCTTTTAAAAATAATTTTAAATGGTAGCTTTAATAGCCCTCCCCTCCTTTAGTAGTGAATAATCCTGTATAATCTTACTGTTATAAGTATATAACACAATACTATCATTGCTATAATTTTTTAGCCTACCAAAATATCTTTTAAAATAATATATTTTTGTTAGAAAAATATATGATATTCCAATCGCGCCTAGGACCAAGGTAAACCTGTTATTTTATTGGCTAAACAATGCTGTCAGCTTATTCCTGCAGACCAGTATATTAGATCAAAAAACATCGGTAGACACGTTCACGATCGAGTGCGAATATATAGGCCTAAAAGAATATTTTTTATTTCTAAATAAGATCAGCAAATTTCAACTATGTTTTAATTGTTTAAATAGTTAATTTTTGGAAAATTCATTTTTTTAATCATTTCATTGGATTATACATATAGTTAATTAAAAAAATTAAGAAAGATGATTAACAAAAGTATCCAAAACAGTATTTCTTCAAAAAAAGTCCTGTGGGTATTTCACCACTGTAAGTTTGGATATGGCGTTTGTCGCCTAAGCCTAAATATCTGTTGGTAATTTTTACTTATTTCGTTTTGAGCCATTTCTGGCTCCAATTCAATCAGCAATCGACACGAAAGGGAATTAAAAAATATTGACTCAAAACTGGCAACTAAAGAGACAGCCATAGATAAATGCAACAAGTTTAGATTGGAAAGCCCGTAAAAATTTTAGGTCGCGAAATTATTTTGGTTTGCAACCGTTATATGCGATCTGGCGCTGCTATAGCGGTCGCTAAGAACAACGGCAAACAAAAACAGAAGTAATTTTCTCTTGTCAAAGTCAGAATCTTCAAAAATCATAATAATCTTTCAAAAAATCTAAACCGCTCTCATTAAAGACATTCCGAAAAGTGTTTATAGCGTCCATTTTCAAAGTAATTATTGCTATCTTGTGAGTTTAATTCAAGTTTTATTTACTCCAATCGGTGATAATTGTGAAAAAGTGGCATTAAAAATTTAAAAAGGTGTGCTGTGAACTGTGAACTGCAAAAACCATCGTGGATCGTGGCATAACGTCAGTTTGCAATGTTTCATAGGTATTTCATACATGCGTCCTTATATAAAATAAAGTTTATTGTATGCAACACACTGTATTTAATTTATAAAATTAAACGAAAATAATAATAAATCTGAATAAACAATATTTGGCGATATAATTCCGGAAAAAGCCGAACCGCTCCGAAATTTTCAAAAGTTCTGGGTCGCGACCGTTGCAAGAATAGCGCCAAATAGTGTTTATATTGTCCTTATGGGCACTTTCCAATCTAAACTTGTTTCATTTATCTATGGAGACAGCTTTATTTATTTGTCAAATTACATAGAAACCAACGCCAACCCAGCACAATATTTTTTCTACTCGTAATAAATTCCTTGAAATAATAATTTCTGAATATTTTTTAAAACGTGTAACTCGCTATGGAAAAAATATTGTTTTATACACGACGATAAAATTGCATTATCATCTCCCGAAACTAATTCACTCGCGATTTCATGGCTCGTGAATTAATCTTTTCGGTCGACGATAAAATACCATTTTATCGTCTTGTATAAAAAATAATTATTTTATTAGGCTGTATTAAAAAATCATGTTTAGAGGCAATCGCTTCTTTCATAATAATTTTTGCGTTGTTAAAATCTACTCTATGCCCTGTGCCCTCTGTCTGTTAGGCAAATTTAATATTAGTAAACCACTGAGGTATAGACATTTTTTTTACAAAACAGTATATTAAACAAAAATCATGTCTGAAAATAATTTAAAAAAACATTAATTACATGTCTTTTTTCAGTTTGGCTGTAATCAGGCCGTCAGCCTTTAATTTGTTCCACGAATAATGGCAATTCCAATCGTCTGAGATTTTCCCGAGATTTTATAGTTGTCTATTTACCAATACATAGAGACTGCACCAATATAACAATTTAGTCCAGGTGGTTTAATATTACAGGCCCAGGTAAATATAATAAAGTATTAATGAAATGGCACTAGCAGGTTTAGCAGTTGGAAAATAAAAAATCTTTATTTAAAAAATTGCCGACGTTTTTTTTTCAAGGCTATTCTTAACTAAAAGGTTATTTTGTCAAGTGTGAAAATTAGTAGTACGCTTGAGAAAAGAACGTTTAGCTGATAATAGCCTTGAAAGAGACGAATATACGTCGAAATGTGGGAATTTTTTTAAATAAACGTTTTTTATTTTCCTGGTTCTTAACTTGCTAACGCCATTTAATTTATAATATGAGGACGCAAATCTACCACATATAATTTTAATATAACAAAATTTTTGAGTAAAAATGCAAAACTTGCTGCTTGATAGAAAGTTGAATTTTTACTTACTAATAATATGAAAAAAATCTTAAAAGATTATATTTTATTTTCGAAGTTATTAACTGGAAAATTAAATAGTTTTATGGGAAAAAATAGTTGTATACAGGGTGGTGTATCGTCGTTGGAAACAAGAAATCCCATGCAAATTTTGAACTGTTCAAATATTGGCTCAAAATTCCCCATTGAACACCGGAATAATATACTGGGTGTTCTATTTAAAATAAAGGAGTAACTTGCTTTTAAAAGTGACTAATGTTCCATATTAATTTTGTCTCACCCTGTAAAACTTTTCGGGTCAAATTTCAATTTGGTTTAACATACAATGGTTACTGTAATTAAATATGAGGCTATTCAAGGTCAACTAAAATTTAGGTAGCCCTGTTATCGACATTTAAAATTTACTCTTCATTTTCACAAAATGAGAAATATGTCAAAATCCTTAGATTTTAGAAAGAAAGAAAGAAAGAAAGAAAGAAATTGCTTTATTGTCATAAAAAATTTTACAATTTTGTTGACAAAGCTTAAAAAAAAGAATATAAAAAACATACAAAACTTCACTTAACAATAGAAAAACATATAAAACTAACAGCAAACATACAAAACTAAAACAATACTTTATACAATTATAGAAATTGTACATTGTCAAAAATTTATTTAATTAAATATAAATAAAATATAAACATACATGTAAATAAACAACTGTATATGATGTCAATACTAAATTTAAATGGATAGAAAACAAAAACATTTCTAAATTTAGTGAATGTGTGTTAAATTTAGAACCCTAGATATTAATAAAAAAATCGTTAACCGCGTAAAAGGCTTTCTCCAGTAAGTATGATCTCAAGGCTCTGCGAAATGCAGGAAAGGATGAAATGGAATTAATTTCAGATGGCAGATGATAGTGCATTTTTTTTTGCATTGTACAATTGGGAACTCTTTACTAACTCAGAGTGAGGGGTTGGCAGATACATGTTATGCTCTGCGTTCCTAATTGGATAGCCATGAACTGGCTCTAGAGAAATACTCGATACGTGCTTGCGAACTAGGCAGACGGATTCGAGTATGAATAGGGAAGGAAGAGTTAATATTTTATATCTTCTAAACAAGTCCCGGCAGTGAGCACAACTGGTTAGCCTCAGTGAATATCGCACAGCTCTCTTTTGTAATTTGAAGATACGCTCAAATTGAGTCGCACAACACGCACCCCAGAATGGAAGTGCGTATCGGAGATGCGACTCATAAAGGGCATAATAGACTGTCCTAGATGTTGACAAATTAAGCACATTAGCAACTGATCTAAGTGCGAAACAGGCAGAACTTAATTTTTTAGCTAAAGCATCGATGTGCAAATCCCATTTTAAATAGTTGTCCACAACAAGGCCTAAAAATTTCACAGAATCAACGACGTCAATGGTGGTATTATCAAGTTGAAAAGGTAGCAACGTACTTTTATATGATAAGACTTTAGTTTTAGAGACGTTGAGACACAGATAATTAGAATCGCACCATGTTTTTATGTTGATTAAGTCACTGGAAATGGTTCTATGAAGTGCCGTGGTGTCCGGGCTGCTCCATGTGAAACAAGTATCATCCGCGAAGAGACAGATTTTACCACTGATGTCCAGACTAGCAATATCGTTGATAAACAACAGAAACAAAATAGGACCTAGCACTGAGCCCTGAGGTACTCCGCATTCTATTGGCTTGCAAGAAGACACAGTCTTATCAACCCTCACACGCTGGTTTCTGTTGTTAAGGTAGGACTTAAACCATTCAAGAGGCGTTCCCCTGATACCATAGTACTGCAATTTGTTAGTTAGGATGTTATGATTAACACAATCGAAAGCTTTCGAGAAATCACAGAAAATTGTTGCTGTAACGAGACGGTTGTTCAGACTGGAGTATACATTATTAAACAGCGAAAACATAGCGTCATTTGTACATTTGTTACTCAAGAACCCAAACTGAAAGGGGTGAGTATTTTGTATTTTAGAAGAAATGATACAAGCCTCTTTTTTAACCAGTCTCTCCATGATCTTCGATAACGTGGGAAGGAGTGCAATTGGACGATAGTTGGAAGCTTGCTCTTTATCACCTCCTTTATGCAAAGGAATAATTATCGCCGACTTAAGGCAATTTGGAAAAGCACCATCTTCAAATGACATATTAATTAAGGCTGAAAGATGGTTTAATGTACATTCCGGCATACTAGAGAACATTTTAAGAGTAAGTCCGTTTAGGTATGTGTTTCTTTAATAAAACTCACCTTTATTTTTTTCCTAGAATCCGAAAATCAATTAATATGTAGGGTGTTCCATTAGAAAAAATACAACTTTGATGCGTAACTTTTTTTGGGGACACCCTGTAGAACTCTATATTTTTAAAAAGTGCTCTGAATTAACCTACATATGCTGCCAAAATTTAATTTCGATGTAAACTACCGTTCTCCTTGGAGCTTCTGCGGCGTATGAGAGGCGCCACCCTGTATTCATTCATAGGCAGACCTATAAAAAACTATATAAGACGTCGCTGGGAAATCAACAGGGGAGCTAATATTTGGACAGTTCAAAATTTCCATGCGATATCCTATGTTTCCAACGACGATGCACCACCCGGTATTTCCAAATATATAATGGGAAAAAAGTAATATAAGAAACATTTAAACAAGTAAAATACGGCTGAAATTAACTGATCTTATATAACAAATATACTAATCTATGAGTTTGCAGGAGTTACATCTATAGATTAATTGATTCTTGACAAAAAAAGATCACGAGATTATCTGTCATAAACTTCAATTTCGTGTCTTTTTATGTCCAACAGATCAATTAGCAAAACCATAAGGAAACATGTAATATACAAACAAATAATATTAAAAAAGAAAGAAGAAATCTTCACTATTAGCTGTGATCTAAAATATTTAAATAAACTTTAATTTACGAATCTCTGTGGATTAGTTTACAAGGTTATTTTTAGTTCGATTTAAATCCGCTGTACTCGTTGTATGCTTGCAAAATAACAACAGATCAGAATCCCGATCGGTTTCTTTTTATATCCGAAAAATACCGAAGTGACGCGAGGAGAATACAGAGATACAAGTTTGTTGTACTTGTTGATATATAAACAGTACAGTCCTTTCAAAAGTATGATATTTTTACAAAATGCTACTTACTATTAAGACGTTAATGTCAATAATATGGGAATTACTAGTTAAGGACTCATTAAGTTATGTAAGTTTCGTTCGTTTTAGGTGCTACATTTTTACATTGTTTCGAGGTGTATTTGGTCGACCCAATATGACGCACGTTTCTGGCCAAATAAGGTTGTAGTATTTTTTTATTTAAGTAAAAAACCAGAGCACAAGAGTCACTCGATATAAATAACATCGATTGAGAAAGTTCACTGTCGACTAAATACATCTTTAAAAGTGTTTTTGTTTTGAGGTTGTCGTATAACTGGCCTTATTTCCTAATAGTTTATAATTTTCACCGTTCTAGTAATTTATAATAAAATGAAAAATTTAAACGAATCTTTGCTGTAAAGGTAGACAAAAAAAACATTATTTCTATATAGCGTTTGTATACAGGGTGTCCCAGGCTGAGCGTGCATTAGAAGTTTCTAGAGAACCACAATATCTAAATCGAATTTTTTTTGCACATCATTGTTACAGAACGAGATCTATCGATTAAAAATATTCTCAATATGGCAGCGCGGCGCTTTCGGAGATACCGGAAGTTGACAGCAACTTTCTTATTTTAAATGGGTGCTTCCATTTTTTATTACATACTTAAATTCTCTGTAAAATTTTATGAATTTTGATATTAAACACTCTATATCTAACATTAAATGTTTTTGAGAAAAAAATATTTAAAATTTTTGGACGAAAAAAACAATTTAATTTTTGAAATATATAGCCACATGCCTTCTCTTTATGGCACAATGGCTATGGTAATCACTAAATTTGACGTTTAGGCTATACACATATTTTTAACAGGCAGTTTTTTTCGTCCAAAAATTTTAAATATTTTTTTTTCTCAAAAACGGTTAATGTTAGATATAGAGTGTTTAATATCAAAATTCATAAAATTTTACAGAAAATTTAAGTATGTAATAAAAAATGGGGACACCCATTTAAAATAAGAAAGTTGCTGTTAACTTCCGGTATTTCCGGAAGTGCAGCCATATTGAAAATATTTTTAATCGATAGAAAATTCTAATGCACGCTCAGCCTGGGACACCCTGTATGTTACTGTTATTTAAAAATAACAGCGTAAAATACAGGGTGTTCCATTATTCCGTGGACATAGAAATTCTATGTATTTTTCAAAATAAGTTTATTGAACATAATTTACCTACAAAAGTGCATAGTTTGTCCGTTAGGGGCAAAATAAAACACTAAATCACCACAATACACCAAAACACTTTTACTTTTACACTGGACGCAACAACAAATGACAATGTTTTATTATTTATTTATTATATTTATTTTTTTGAAGTTTGATGCCCTCTAACGGTGAAACAAAGCACTTTTCTATAGAAGTAAGTTGTGTCCAATGAACTTATTTTTATTCCATAAATACCTAGTAGACTATGTCCACAAAATATTGGGAAAACCTGTATTAACCTGTATTATTAAATGGTCAAAATATAAAAAAGGAGTATATTTTAATAAACATTTGTAATATCACAGAAAACTTGTAATTTTCGATTTATTGGTAAATATTATTATATCTTAAGCTTCATTCCTCTGAATGTAGTCCTCGCAATTAGTGGAATAAATTAGTGGTTTCAATTACACTTTATACTTTTTAGTTTACGATCATTCATAATGTCTAAAAAACATAATTAAAATTAATAAAATATCCTGGCAACAGCTTGCGGTAGTCTGTTGTATCCATAGAGAAAGCATAATATTTAGCTTATAAAACAATAAACTTTTGATTCTATTAAAATGACATTCCTCGCAAATTTTGACGTATAATTAGTGGAAAAGTCAAAAGTTTGTTAACTTTTTCCAATGAAAAGTACTACCACTAATTATGACGTTCTGAATTCTTACATTAAAATTA